AGGCCAGCAATAGCCAAATATCCATGGGATACTCTTCTCCTCCAGCCCCATCCAGGTCTTCTGAAACAGAAAAGAGAATATAACCTTTGACCTTCTATTACACACATACCTAAAGACCCCCAATCATTTCAATTCTCCCAGGGCTTGCACTGTTAAAAAAAGTTTTAAACAGGTCCAAGAAAGCCTGTCAGGCTCATCATTTCCTGCTTATTCTAGCTGCTAGAAACTTTTGCTTCCTGTTGCCCAAGTGACTAGGTCATATTCTTAAAAGACTTTTATTTAACAACTATTCAAACACTATTTTGAAGTTTGCCAGAGTACTTCTGCATACATTATACCATTCCACTCCAATAATTCTTCAACAGAAATAAGGAAAATATTACTGTGCCCATTTTATTAGTAATAAGACACAACCTTGGCACTAGGTTAAGGTAAACAGAACCCAGGTTTTACTCCAAATTCTAGCTTTGCACCACGAACTCTGCCTCTGGGTGGCTCAGTCGGTTGAGAATCAGATTCTTGATCTCAGGGGTGCCTGAGTGGCTCAGTCGGTTGAGCATCCAACTTCGGCTCAGGTCATGATCTCACAGTTCCCAAGTTCAAGTCCCGCCTCAGGCTCTGTGCTGACAGCCTAGAGCTTGTTTCGGATTTTGTCTCCCTCTCTCTCTGCCCCTCTCCTGCTCATGTCCTCTCTCTCATTCTCTCTCTCGTTCTCTCTCTCTCTCTCAAAAATAAACTTTAAAAAAATGTTATTAAAAAAAAAAAAAAAGATTCTTGATCTCAGCTCGGATCTTGATATCAGGGTAATGAGTTCAGGCCTCATGTTGGGCTCCACACTAGGCATGAAGCCTACTTAAAAAAACAAAACAAAATATTCTGCCCTTGATTTCCCTCACAGTCCCCATCCACTAAACATTTTCTTCAATTCAGTCATTCTAAAAAAAACAAAAAGCAAAAACTGATTTTAAAATGGTATGATGAAGCCTCAAAGTGCAAACTAAATAAAACAGCAGGTAAGTTACAGCATATCTTCATCACTCAATAAATGCCTGTAGACATGTTTCTTTCCTTCCAGTTCCTCGTTTCATTGCCAGTTTGACCTATGATCCTGGCCAGGAGCATTCAGTATTCAAAGATGCCCTGTGACAACGTATCCCCACCTCCTCCTCCTTCAGACCTCATCAGGGTTCATTCTCTTAACTCTGAGGTCCATCAGATGTCTCAAGTTCAAACAAAAACTCACACTCTATAAAGATATCTGCACCTGGACAAACCCTAACCCTAACCTGTAATTCAGACCTAGTCACACAACTATCCAAAAAGAACTTTTCTTCTTTCTCTTTCCTGGGCAAAAGGACCCTACACTACCTCCCCAAAGCTGCCTCTACTTTTTTAGCTAACAGCTTCCTGCAGCTATATGACTCAATCAGGTTGTTGCATTAGATTCTTCGTTACACGGACCAATGCCTCCAAAACAACATCCTCTTCTCTGGTTGCAATTCTTCCTTATAATTTCTGGTAACCATTTAAGGTTAAGTGTGCCATGTTTGGGCCCCACCTTCTCCCACATTAAATCTCTCCCTAAAGAAGAATGAAAAGGACTATCAGAATTTCTCCCACTGAGTCCCATAAGGAGCTTTACAAAGCAGAGTGCTGTTTAAAAATGTTCATCTTTAGGGACAAAACTTGGTAACTACTGAAGAACTGTCAGTGTTTGAAACATCATTATTAAGAAATTTCAAGATGCAGGAAATGGAATCAGTAAAAGAAAGCCTCTTGGAGATAAGCCATGAAGGACATAAAGAACTTTGATAGATATAGCTTAAGAGAAAAGTATTCCAAGTGAAATAAACAGTAAACATAAAGCCCAGAGACCTAGAAAAACAAAACACATGTGACAGCAATAAAGAGCCAAGCCTAACAAGATTCTGATACTATTAAGAAATTACTATTCACCTTTTTAGACAGGATTAATTTTGTTGTTGTTGTTAAAGAGTATTTGTCATTTGGAGGGAACTACCAAAATATTTACAGATAATAACAGGATACCCGGAAATTGTTTCAGAATAATCCAGTGTGTGTGTTGAGGTGGGGGAGTAGTGGTTGAAACAAAAATGGCCATAAGTTGATAAGTGTTAATGCTGGGTAACAGCTATATGGGACTCATTATACTATTTTCTCTTCTTCTGTATTTGTTTCATTAAAAAGAAGCTAAAAAGAGAAGGTAAAAAAAAAAAAAAAAAAAAA